TGGTACATGTTGCCTTACTTGTATTTATGGTGTTTCTTTGTGCTTGAGGTTGTATTTGTGTTGTTGCTTGGGTTATTGATGGAGATATTACAGTATTTTGTGAGCTAGTAGTGCTGTTTAGTTTTTTGCGTTATTATTATTATTATTATTATTATTATTATTCACGTTGATGGGGCTTGCTTATGGGGAATTATTCGGAAAAAATTAATAAGATGGCAACATTGATAAAAAATCAAAAAATGGTCTTCAATCTTAACAAACGACATCGATGCAATTAAACATTTACAGGTATTCTATTTTAAAAAATCATAAAATAGGACACTCTGTACATTCAAAAATAATTTCTATAGATTCGCAAAAGGTTCTTTTTTGTATTCTTTTACCAGGTATGAGCTAGCAAAGACGGACGCACTGTTGCAGGACCCTGTATAGAATGTACACCGTACATGCTTGTCAAAACCAACATCATATACGGTGTAGTATATTTGATGTGCATATAAGAATAGAATCATATTATAGTGTTCATGTTAACATCGATTGAATCTTTATGATTGCCTGATGCAGCTTTTAAAATAAAAAAAAACACATTTATATTTATTATTATTCCCTGAGTAAAAGCTAATTAGTTCTCTCCTACTTTGAGTATCCATTCTGCTCATTACTGTTCGCACGTAATTTGAATTTGACGACTTGAAAGCATTGTTCTGCGCTATTTTCCTTAATAAGATGCGAAACTTTGTGTATTAGTTTAACATCTTGTCGTCGGTAGAATGCTCTAGATATGTATCTTCTGTAAATTTGATAATTTTGCACTAAAATCTTAAACAGATGACTGTTAACTTTCAAAGGCACACTCACAACCATGATCTTACCCATGAACTCATACTACCAGTATATCCTAGTGGTTGCTTGTAATCGTTAATTAATTGAAGCATAATTGCACCATTTATTACTCATTTAAAGAGAGTGCACGAGTTTGAAGCGATAGGTTAAATCTAAACAAAATTACGTAGAATGTTTGTTTTATTGTGGGTGCTGTGAATACGGTGTAGATATTTTTTTTGTAAAATGTGTACAACGTCAACGTTTCGCCTACTATCGTAAGGGGCTTCATCAGGACAAGAAATAAAAATAACAATCAAAAATAAAATATATAAAAACTCTGAGCCAACGGGATGAACACGTAGGTACCTACTACTTCACTAAACTATACACGTAACACGTTAGAACACTGAAAAAGGAAGGCGAAACCGAGCTATTTAAACCTATTACGTCAGGAGAAATTGGAGACAGTGATCCATCAGCCAATTGGATAACAGATTTTCTGAGCGGAGAAACTGACCGCCGATGTAGACTTGATCACAAGAACAAGAAATGCAGTACACGCCTTTGCCAGATAGGTTCGAATTTATCTTTAGCATTGGGTAATATCTAAGATATCTAGTAGACGAGTTTTAGACGACCTTGATATCGTGTGTCCGAAGAATCTTTCCAATGCGATCAGTGACTTGGGGGACATAAGGCAAGAAGGTAATATTCCTGGCGGCCTTCTGCTCGTTGTTGCGAGGTTTTGGGGTTAGGTGACGATTTATAGCTTTGTGGATTTCGCTCCTGCGAAAACCGTTGTTGGTGACGTGCTGCAATTCGTTCCGAAGGTTATCCTTATTGGAGACGGTTACAGCACGATGGTCAACCGGTTTTGAGCAGGACGATGGTGCGAAGTGACATGTAAATACCTATTGGTGTGAGTGTGTTTACGATTAGCTGAGTGACCAATACCATTCGAGTGGCGGTGACTAGCCTCAACTTCCATGGTAAATTTAATGTTGGGATGTTGGATATTAAAATGATCTTGGAATGCCATCAAAGCATCATAGCCGTGTGACCAAATTACGGTTATTTTTGTTTCTCGTTCTGATGAATTCTCTTACGAAAGTGCGCGCAACGTAAACACGGTCCCATTCTGGAAGTCACTCGCATATTATATAATTTCAACTTTGCAACTAAATGTTGTACCATAGAGGTACGTGCAGTGGATGTATAGGGGAGATATACAGTCTAAGTTGAATGGGGGAAAAGTTGCCCGTTTTTGTGACTAAAAAAACGTATTTAAAATGATTGAAAAATCCTTGAAAATAACTCGTATACCACCGAAAAACTGAAAATAACAAATTGCGTTTCCATTTTTTCGTAGCTTAAACGGTTGGAAATGGACGGTTCTAAATGTGTTATCACGGTAGATGTAGAAGCTACATTCTTATTTCTTATGGACGCCATATTGGATTTTTACGGAATGAGATAGAGGACCGAAAAGAAAAATAATGACGTGTCACACTCTATGTACCTACTTCTACTATAGTGGGATTTTTCTTAGTTTGCACCCACACCATCGGTGTATTATGACGTCATCACTAAGTATGTTTACATTGCATATTAAATACTTATGTAGGCAGCCATACAGACAGACAGTGCTGCATTGTGGGTAGGACTAGGATACGCACTGCATTAACGACTTCTATTGACCAATTACTAAATAAATATTTCGGTAGTTATTTGTAACATGTTGTCTATGTCCCGATCTTTTACTAACAAGGTGGACATTATTATTTGGACGTAAAGGAAAAATTTAAAAAAATCATTTTAATTGTTTTTTTTCGTAATAACAACGTCCGCAGTACTTAGCAGCAGAGAAAGGACTGCAATCTTGACTTACCCCATACTCTCAAGCAGAGCCACCGATACTTTTATGTCCAAACGATGGACGAATCTGGATAGCAGTCGGCGTTAAAACTGGCGGTTCTTTTTATACACACACGGGAGAGGAAATTGAAAACTCATAATTTGTTGCGTTAGAAAAGACGAGAACGTATAATTTAGTATGTTACGCAATGAGCATTTAATGATGGCTATTAAGATACGAGTATAAGAATTACGAAACGAGCCTTGGCCATTAAATGTGAGTTTCATACACTATTTTTTCTATGACTATGATCTATAGAAAGGTGATGCCACGTTGGCTTTTGGCAATTTTGGTAACTTGAAATCTTGATATGATATCTGAGTAAACCGGAAAACATTAATCTGAATCAGCAGTTACAAAAATATCATCATTTTCCAAATTAGTTATTACTGGGGTTACATCTTCGCGGTCAAAATTCGCAGTACCACCAGTCTAAAATAATTTTGTTGGTATGCTCCATAGTAAATAAATAAATTCAGGTTTCCGGCATATAAAACCACGCAAAATACAAAATACATAGTTATAAGATGGTATTGTTCTCATCAATACCATGTGTTACCTGCGTCCCTCGGGTTTCATTTTTTTTACAAGACACATTGGAGTCCAGCATCATGTTGCATATTTTTTACATACGCATCTAAAAGATGGACTCGTGATGGTGTAATATTGGGTTAACCATTAAACCTTTTTTATTTTCCTTTTTTTATTTTCATTATCGAACTGTATTAGTAGTGGGTAACGGGAACACTTAGGAGATAGGGGATGGAGAGAAATAATTTTTTAACATAATAACGAAATTACTACATAGCTATTTATACAACAAGTTGCGAAATTAGTGTCTTTTAGGCACGCGACGTCAAGTTGGACAACACGTCTAGTGACTAAAAGACATCTCACTATCTCCTTTTTTTCCACCTGAAATATAAAATTACCATTTTTTCCGATTTGAGCATTACTGCATTCCCGTATTTGATACTAATTTCGTTCGCGTAGGTTTTTGTGTTTTGAAAAGGAACGCCATTACTAAAGCATCTTCTATCCTTAAGCCTATCAAGAAAACTGATTTAATTTTATGACCTATTTCTGAATACAGCGGTTGAAATATAAACTCAGAGAGTTCATTTGGGTTCGATTTGTCTATGTAAAAATTTTATAGAACGTCAGTTTTCGATGAAAGGAGTATGAAGTGGCGAGCACTCAAACAGGGGATAAAAATAAATTGCAACTGATGCAGTGTGAAATATTGATTTGAAGGGTTGGTTACATGGGTCCACTAAAGTGATAGTATTATCTGACTTCAGAACAGAATTGTGCATAAACTTTGCAAAAACTAAGTAGGTCAAATCGATACATGTGACAAAGACCTAAGAATATTTGGTTACTAATAAAACTAGAATGAATGTTTCTTTGCCGGGCGCCTGTTTGTGTAACTTTCCGCTATTTACCGACGGAGGGTCATGAAATTGTAGTTGCTTATCTAATGATGGTTTTGCTTTCTTCCAAATTCTCAGGTTTAAATTATTAATATCGGTCGCGCTATGCTGTAAATTGTGCTTCCACGAAAGCCCATGTTTTTGGAAGTGTCTTGGAAACATGAAAACTATAGCGTGAAAAATACAATAAAAAAATAAATTAGTATGCTATGATGTAGGTGACAGATTGCTATGACCTTAAGAAAAATACGCTTTCCAAAATGTTACACAATAAACTAACACAAATCTAGTTTTTCACTTTTATGTTAGTTTTCAGTTTTCAGCAAGGCGTTGGCATGAACGATTATCTCTGCGTCAACGTCTGTTAAAACACGTGCAGTGCTAATTGCCTTTCGGATCTCTCTGCAAGATTGAGTAACAAAATGATGCAAGAGCAATCCCTTGTGGCCAGGGTGCGGAGGTATTCGTTTTGTGATAATTACCTCCATCAATTAATCGATTTCTTTGCTGTATTTTGTATAAGCGCACAAAAGACGCTTGCCATTGACAGACGCGATCCAACAAGAGACTGATGATGATATATTATATAGACCTAAATATTTTTGAAAAGATCCATCGATCAATTAAATCGTGCGTGCTAAATTTGCAAAAAAAGAGTTGTAAGGCGCAGTTCAATCATGATTTACCTACTTTTAATGAACAAAAATGACATTATATTGCGATATTACGTAGCGGTTGTAAAATATCCATCTTATTTTATGCTCTATTAATTGGTTTTGATAAACTGTTTTGATTATGTATAGATTACTTTTCTTAGTGTTGATCTTTACAAACGCAGTAATTGCTGTAGGTTTTTGGTGTACGAACAAAAATAATCCAGCCAAGCAAGATAATCTAGAAACGGTGAGAAACTGTTTCTTTGTTAACCCTAATTTAATTTCACTATTTTATGCATAACAGTTGATATTCATGTAGGTATATTCATGTATTTTAGCAGTTTCTCTGTTTTATTAACTAGAAGATGCTAGAAGCTAATGAAAGTGTAATATATTTGCTCTTATACTTGTGTGAAGACAGCAAAGCATTGAAATACATTAATAGTTAATAGTTTTGCAACAAGCCCATCTATTTTTGATAAATTTATAGGATTGCACATTTTCCGAGCCAATCTTAAATTTTTTTTAAATTTTGTGTAAATTATTAGTGATTGAATTTGCATAAAAAACGTGTTACTGGGCGTTTTGGAGATGTAGTGATTCACTGCGTGTATCACAGATCCCCCGTAATTATTAGTTACTTAGTTCGCATATTATGTTGGATTGCCCAGTTTTTTCACAAATTTCTGTAAAAGAAATCTAACTAATTGGACACTTTGTCGTGTATATGCGTATTTCGTTTTTTCTATCAATTGGAGACCGGTAATCGCTACCGACTATAGGTATGAGTATGTACGAGACCTACGATACTTACATACCGGAGCACTCGGAAAAGTCACGTGACCTTAGGAGGCATATGAAATACATTACGGCTTATGGAAAATCCGTCCGCGGCTCCACTATTTATTTTTTTACTCCGGATCCGTTTAACATAGAATCACGAAATTTTAATGAAAGCTTGTCAATAGTATATCTGTCGTAGGCTTATTGCAAAATCAGTCTTATTATAATACACCTAGGCTTTTTCAATACGACCAGGCGAATTGTGAAACGACACGAAAAATTGGGAATCTCACAATTTGACTGAAAATTTTTAGGCGTATTATGATTCGCCTGCAGCTTGTTAGTCTTACTGTTAAAAGAGAACCTGTTTTACAATACGACTACTTGAAATCCGCCGTATTAGAATACGGCTGGCGGCTGGCGGTACGTCAGGCACATTAAAAACAATCCACAGTGCTAATAATTAGGTGTTTTGTTTTGTGCACCTACAGAATTTTAAGTGATATTAGTGCTAAACATTTGTACTTGAAATGAGTGTTAATTTATGCAACGTGTTCGTAGATAAAAACAAATATTATGGAGAGCTAGACCAACCAATGAAGTAATTACTAATATTCCGGAAGGGAAAGCAATTTCCTTGAGAGAAGCTCTAAGATTATGTTAAAAATTCGAAGGACAGGGGTTTAAAAAGTGTTCATGCAAACCAAGCAAAGTACAGTGTCGCAGTAATAAATATTTATGTTTTAAAGCTCATATGCAATGTACTAGCAAATGTCATAAAAGCGGACCATGCTGTAATAAATAAATATTCCAAATCTATAATTATTTTTTTAAATTGTTTAAACCTCTTTAAAGTGAATGATTAAATACAATTTGCCTGACGTACCGCCAGCCGTATTCTAATACGGCGGATTTCAAGTAGTCGTATTGTAAAACAGGTTCTCTTTTAACAGTAAGACTAACAAGCTGCAGGCGAATCATAATACGCCTAAAAATTATCAGTCAAATTGTGAGATTCCCAATTTTTCGTGTCGTTTCACAATTCGCCTGGTCGTATTGAAAAAGCCTAGGTGTATTATAATAAGACTGATTTTGCAATAAGCCTGCGACATATACAATCAAATGATGGCGTTCGTTAATTTTTAATTTTTAAACGATGATAGTAAATCCGCGTTTTTCTATCTTTACACCATCATATGTCTTTTTATAGGAACGATATCATTATAATTCTTTCGATGTCTTAAACTAGAATGATAGGCTCCTCCAATTATGCGTATATTTGCCTTGTCTGCTATTAGTATAGTTTTAACCGGCCCTACAAAATCGCGCATTTATTATCCGCGCAGAGCAAAATTCACAATGCGATATATCGAATGAATTGTGACCAAAGGACACAAAAACGTTTTTCAGAAGATTTTTAAGGAATGTGTCCTTTTTTTCAGCAGCGACTTCAAGAATACGCGAACGCTCAAAGGAAATTATTTTTCAAATAATTATTCCTAAGTAGTTTTCTCGCCTTACTTCCCAAAATTCGTGTCTTTTCCCCCAAAATTATTATCACTCACCTTATTGTGGCAGTCCTCGTTTCTTGTGCATATTTTCCTGTAGGGCCCATAGATAGTTACTGCCGAGCGGTTGTCCAAAAGGGGATAGTAATTAACGTTACAAGGCCTGTAGTAGTTATTTACATAAAGGTCAGAAAAATGACACATTACTGGCGAGGAAAGATTAATTTCCGAGTCAAGTAATGTCATTTTACTGACGAGTTTTGTATTAAATTTTACCCAAAATCGTATTTTAATAGATATCAAATTTTAATTTTCATACGGGACTTTTAATTTATGCCAATCTATCAATGATGGCAGGAGTCATTATAGACATTTAGCAATGTGACGGGTGCGGCAGGAAAAGTGACAGGTGCGGTTGGTAATGTGACAGGTGCGGCCAGTAAAGTGACAGGCAGCAGGAAAAGTAGTCTGGCAGGAGCTGATTCCGGGAGTTCTAATCGAGTACGGGGTTTAATTTTTATTTAATACTGGTCTGGTTTGACATATTTAATAAAAATTTCATAATGTGAAAAAAACCGAAGGAAAACTACGACATAATTGAATGGTCTCCATAGCAATGGAATGGTGTCTGTTTTGACGTTTTATTGACATTAATTCTTATGACAACAAAACGAGTTCATTTTGAGACTTTTACAGGATCCTAGCCGCGAAATCAACTTTACCGGACATTTATGAAAATATACCAGACCGTATCAAATAAGTTATCAATAAGTTCCAGTCACTAGCGTTTAGGTTTGATCAATTGAAACTGAATAAAAAATAAACGTTACATTATCGTAATAAATAAAATGACGATTTACTTTTCTTATGTTGTGTACGCTGTTTTATTTATACTTGCTATTTATGGATCAAAGTTGAACTAATTACATAATTCCGCGAACCAGCTAAAATCTATTTTAATGTAAATAGTAAATGAAGGGTGACAATGCAAGAAATTCATATCATGAGACTAATTTTTCAATATAGTGGCGGTCAGTTATCATTGGCGATCTGGAAAGCTAGAATTTTTCTGTTTATACTACCCTTAACTCATTTTCTCTAATGAAACACCTTAATCACTGACAGTCTATTTTTTTATGACCGTTTTGCCCTCAAATTAATCTTTCAAACACGGATAAGCACGCTGCAAAACTTTTTCGTGCTTGATATAAATCCTACACTAGTGTTTCCAAAACTGTGCTAAGTTTACGCACCCTATAGGTAGGTAGTTAGGTACCTAGATTCATACTTTTATTCGAAGTACTTTTAATTACTCTTTCTTTCGATATGTATATTCGAAAAAGCGTAACATGTGTGGGGATCTCTCGTGGTTAAGTTACGTATAAATTCTCACTCGCTTCGCTTTACTAATAATCAATCGAAATTAGATTTACGTTGTAATTAATTCACAATTTTGGGAATTAAATTATTTGATCGACAGCCACTAAAGAGCCCATTGTTTAAAGGTTATATAAAGAGACTTGTTCGCTAATTTATTTTTTTCGTATTTTAGGGAAATTTTCCGCTAGAATTTCCCTATGGCATTCTTTAGTGTTTCCTGGGAGGATAATTATTTAGGATTAACTGACATACTAATCTATTTATTTCTCGTAAGCGATAGAAGAAACTCCTTTTTTTCTCTTTCACGATGAACACGTTCCGAACTAATGAATAAAAGTCGTTAGACACAGGAATCTCACTGTTAATTAAATGGAATTGCCAAATCAGCTCATCATTGCGTAATACTTCATGAATTTAGATTTAAAGTTTAAAGTAGCTATATCTTCGTTTAGTAGATACCACTGGAACTAAGGTAAATTCCAGGGTAAATTTCAGTTGAAACAAAACTTTATACTTATCCGATTGAGAATACTCTATAAATCTTAATAACTAAGGGCACGTGCCGTATCATGACTGAAACATCGCCCACTTAAAAATAAAGACACAACAAAATAAGATATCTATATCGTGAAGTTGCGATTGCGGCACGTAGGTTAATTATGGCTTTACATCGACTCAGCCGGAAAATCCTCTTCATGTCCAGCATCCGCTACTAGACAAAATCTCGAGAAGGTCTAATTTGATTAATTTGAGAATCTCAGCAGCCTTGATCACTTCCACAATTCCAAAAAACTTAATTTACCACCACCAGAGAATTTGGAATAACTCTTATCTAGGCCGTAATTCGGGCTCGATTAAACACAAAGCTAATCATTTACAGACGACACAAATTTATTCGACATAAATCAATCAATAATAAAGCTGAAATAAATAGTATCGCTTAAGGTCAGCAGCCATACATCACGCACAAGCGATCGATTGAACACAACAATCCGTCTAATTCTTTCGTAAACGTAAACAGACGCGTCAGCTCGACTTATTTTATAAGGGCGTATTCATAAAATCTCTTGAAGCACTATCTGACGTTATTCTATTGTAACTTTTCAATTGAACAAGACTGACTGTCTGACTGCCATACACTAAAAGCGCCCACCAAACAAAAGGGAACGATTAGCATCCACCACCAAAAAGTAATGTTTCACGGCCGTCTCTTTTAACGACTTATCCTTTATTCATGCGTCCTCGAACGAAATTAAACATTTGTGTTTTTTTATCGGCGAAACTTGCTTCAAACTTAATTAGCTTTACATAGCGATAGAAAACTTTTATCGCATTGACCGGCGATAAAATTTAAAATAACGCAATTCAATTATTTACATACGGACTTTATGTTTTTACATGTAATTTAAATTTACAATAAAGTAAACAAGAAACTAAGCGGGTATTTAAAGAACAATTTTTCATTAAACAAATCTTTACAAAAAAATCAACATTGACTTCAAAATGGAATAACATGATCTAAATTGGGTTCGTTCTAAATTAGAAACCACATTTAACGTTAAAAATGAACGAAATTAACCACATACAGGGTGACGTAGGTGCTGAGACCAAAACGTCCGCATGACGTAGTTTACTCAACATATAGGTCCAAAAATGTGTATACGTGAGTAATTACATTAATTTTATTTATATTCATGGCATCTTTCTTTTCCAGGTTGAACACAATATGGTCAATTCTTGGAATTCGTCCTACGTATTTGGAAATGACACCGAAAGCGGCTGGGGCGAAAGATATTTTTTCACCTTCTATAGTTCATTTGGAGAACGGATGATTGCCGCTGTTGTTACTGAAGTGACTGCACTTTCGATAATATTTATTGTGTCAGTTTTCGCAAATGTGTCTATTGCCATTTGTGTTTTCAGGTAGGTGATAATCTGTTGTTTTGTTGCATGACTACGAAATGGTTGTACCTAGGTTCTGTAATATACAGATCGCTACAGGATGTCCCAAATCGAGTGGGATTGCGTGCTTAGATTTCTTATTATTGAAGATAGGAATTAAGTGAAATAGGTAACGTCCAAGTTTTAAAATTGGAGTTCAATTAAACCCCAGAATACTAAAATATTAAATATCTGTCATTCTACAAGTTTGTTATTTCGACGGCACAAACTCAAACAGTAAGCCAATATGAAATTCAAGATGGCGATTTCTGATGAATAGTAACTTTTTTTTTATTACTATAAAGGGGCCATATTTGATTGTCAGATGATGAGAAGAGGGCCCATGAAACCTCAATTGATCTTTTCGGTTCTTTTATTAATTTTAAATTTAAAATCGACACCTTACATGATCTCAGCGCAACTAATAACCAATTTTGTAAAGGAACCAGATGTTTTAATTTTTTGTCGCAATGTAAGCAATATCGCGAGTTAATTGATTATTGTCATTTCTCGAATACTCAGCAAAGTTAGGTTTTACTGTATTGAAGTGATTGCTTCTTATCCCTTGGTATGTATTGTATGTTTTTGCACGGGAGTAAAATGCACCCATCCGTAAGACTCGAGTAATTCCGTGCGAGCCGAAAATGAGCTCGGCATTATTAAATCGCATTTTTTTGAATGAAAATATTGCATTGAAATCGTTGATCTCTGTGGAATTGACTAAACTTAAAGCGTATTTTGTAATAGCTTCGGAGTTAATAAAATGAGTTTAACATGTTTAATTATACGTATACGATTAACAGAGCAGTCTAATCAGCTTAGTTAGTAAGACGTCTTTTTTAAACCGAAATAGTTTAGTAAGTGGTTGAGATATAAGGTGGTAGTAAGTAGCATGCTATATTGATCGATGTTTCAACCCATTAGAGAAATTCTTCGAAATATTACATTTTCCTTTTGTAAGTACCTTCCTTCAGCATTTTCCAGATATGCACAACTAAGTTTTTACATCGCCAGTAGATGTTTAATTCTCGTCCAGACAATGTTTCCGTCCTTTGAGAATACCCTTCTCCGCATACCTTTTCGAATCAGATTATTTAGATTATTAGGGAAAAACTGTAAATAATTTAAGATTTCATATTTAATTGTCGACTGCTTGCGTGCGGGTATTCAAACAGGCTTTTCTTTCTTTCAGTGATTTTTTTATTTTTTTCAATTTTTCAATTTCAAAATAAATTGTCGATCAATTAATTGTGTGTTTATTTGAATTCAAAGTGCGACCCAGATAGAGTTTTCATGTGAGATTTCTGCGCTAGATTTGTTTTAGGTGCTGATCAAAATTTTTGTAATAAATTCTTTCGACTTTTCGGAAGTTAATCGATATCACCGAGTCTCTCAAATTGAGAAATGTGTAGTCAATATTGAGATTTTATTTAAGGCAGATGCCGGAAGTGTACGAGGAGAGATTATAAAATTTCAAAGCTTCAGTTTTGACTTGTTTTTAACTATCTGAATAGGTGTTTTGTGGGTCGTGTGATGACCGCATGCCAACATACAGCAATATATAAGCCGCTTCTGTGGAAATGCTATACAATCAATAATTCAAGGTTTCTCACCTATAGTCAACAAATTAGACGCCTAAGTAATGCAACGTAAATTTAATTACGTACTTTACTTATTACAATTAATTAACAGTAAATGTATAACGTCGTATTACGTCACATCTGCCTTCGTTCTTTATCGCCGATGACTAATTTTTCATGGTGCCGCGATGTCTACCGAGATTTCTAGAATATTCGCTAGAGTAATAAGGAGAAGAAATAAACCGTTATAAATATTCGGTATCCTGCCGAGTTGCGCCAGTGATTAATAAATCTGGTGGTAGTCTCACCTGTAGGTAACTTGCTTTTGTAGACAGGGAAAAGCTTGCAAATGAGTAATTAATTGCTAAACAAATAATAATCCTAGACAAACAAACGCGATGTGAAATGCCTTACTTCTGTGTTAATAATGAAATATTTGATAAAGGGTAAATTTGAACGAAATTAACCCCGATAAATTA